GGACACTTCCGTTGAGAGATAATATTGCTCCACGCCTCTAGACAGCTGTTTCGCTCCCTGTCGGAGCTCATCAGTAGAGGATAATAATGATGATAATGGAGGAATGATCATTCTTATACACCAGAAATGGCGCAAATGCGCGCTTTCCACATATATCAATGGCATATGCTACTAGACCTGTTAGTATCACACTCACGACTACAAGTTTCCTGGTGTGCATCGACATCGGCATCAGTGGGGCCTCCCGCTGTCGATCCTGTTGACGGGCGGACAGGTCGGTGTGAATCCTGAACGGCAACCGAGCCTGTCGCGTTGGGGGATCTCGGCGGTGAGTCTCGCCTCGCCTGCATACATGGACATTGCAACATCATAATAATAAACAACATACATGTACTTTCCATTGGCATCAGTATTCCGCGTCAGGTTTTCGTCGCTTGTGTGGTGTGTTTCTCTACCAATGAGCGAGTACTATGATTATTTATCGCTGTTCTCACACTTTACCATTTTAGCAGCTTGCATATGCCATTGATATATGTGGAAAGCGCGCATTTGCGCCATTTCTGGTGTATAAGAATGATCATTCCTCCATTATCATCATTATTATCCTCTACTGATGAGCTCCGACAGGGAGCGAAACAGCTGTCTAGAGGCGTGGAGCAATATTATCTCTCAACGGAAGTGTCCTTGCTGGTGTCTGTATGGTTCGGCTGAAGAGCGCGTGGTTGTGATGAGTTGGGAATGAATTGAAAATATGGCCGAAAGCTCTGTCGCAATATTTAGTTCTGAAGTTTTAATGCGCCGTTAGTGGCAGAGCAGAGTGGACACGAAGAGTCGGTGAAGCAAGAAGGAGAGGTGACAAGACGAGTCGGTGAAGAAGGAAGGAGGAAAGCAAGACACATCTGCAACATCTTTGATCAAACTGAGCTGAGCTGCTGATACGAAGCGTCGACCAAGCATCCCTGACTGGAGTGAATGCCCCAGCTGGCCTCTCGTTTGTCAGTGGTTGCTACTAGACCTGTTAGTATCACACTCACGACTACAAGTTTCCTGGTGTGCATCGACATCGGCATCAGTGGGGCCTCCCGCTGTCGATCCTGTTGACGGGCGGACAGGTCGGTGTGAATCCTGAACGGCAACCGAGCCTGTCGCGTTGGGGGATCTCGGCGGTGAGTCACGCCTCGCCTGCATACATGGACATTGCAACATCATAATAATAAACAACATACATGTACTTTCCATTGGCATCAGTATTCCGCGTCAGGTTTTCGTCGCTTGTGTGGTGTGTTTCTCTACCAATGAGCGAGTACTATGATTATTTATCGCTGTTCTCACACTTTACCATTTTAGCAGCTTGCATATGCCATTGATATATGTGGAAAGCGCGCATTTGCGCCATTTCTGGTGTATAAGAATGATCATTCCTCCATTATCATCATTATTATCCTCTACTGATGAGCTCCGACAGGGAGCGAAACAGCTGTCTAGAGGCGTGGAGCAATATTATCTCTCAACGGAAGTGTCCTTGCTGGTGTCTGTATGGTTCGGCTGAAGAGCGCGTGGTTGTGATGAGTTGGGAATGAATTGAAAATATGGCCGAAAGCTCTGTCGCAATATTTAGTTCTGGAATTTTAAAAAGACTAAAACTATAAGGACACCGAGTTCATAAAAATATATGCAACACTTCACGAAACGGGGATGAAGGGTGGGGGTAGGTGTCTAAATGGTGCATTCACTGAGCCTTGTTGGGGTTGCATGTAGGGCTGTCGCTGATTACAATGCATATTGCGGCTAAGCAATACAAGGCATGATTACTGAGCCAGTGTGGCATCGCTATCTCTCAGGTCGCTGCGCCCTCTCTGATGACACCACCCTTAGCGAAATCGACACCATGTTGCATAGAAAACTTGGTGCCTCAGCCATTGCAGTTAGCCGACAAGGCATGAGGCTGTTGTCCATACCATGGCAAGGTGGACACGGAATTGGGTAGCCGACATATCATAGCCCTTCTGTCTCAGAGGCATGAAGGTAAGCCAAGTTGACACATTCCCTGTGATCCACGTCAGCGGTCGTCATTCTGGATGTGGCTAGGCAGCTGAGTGAGCCTTGCTCATGTCACCGAGCGAGTGATCACGGTCAAGACTGGCTTGCTGGGTGACACGGCAGCAGTGCCGGCTAAGAAAGCCAGCGATCTGAACTGGCTACCCGATCAGCGGATGGCCTGCTGAAGAACGGACGATGCTTCGAGCGAGATATGGACATGGCTAGTGTATTAGTGGGGTCGATGAGACCCATACCACCCAGTCATACTGGATCGGAAGAGCTGGCAGTTTATACTCTGAACCAAGAAACTCCCGGTGCAGGATAGTGGGGGAAAGTACTTTGGGAATTGAGTCACACACGGGTAAGTAATCTCCTTGACACCACCCATGATTCGCTGACCTTAGGCTGCAACCACACTAGGTACAAAATCACGTACAAACGGCATTACAGTAGAAATCGTCATGCCGACGCGTGCGAAATGCAAAATGCGCTTTGTAGGTTTTCAGCAACTGGCGCACCCCTGTAGAAAGCCACGTTTGTCGTTTTCGTCGTTTTCGCGCTCCTTATCCTGTGTACAACTTTGCTTTTGTACCGGGTCATCGTACATAGCATCAGCACCAGCATTGTTTTTGAATTTCCCGGTCTTTTCCAGCGCATGGCGCCCACGCTTTGGTACGACAACGTCACGTGCTGGTCGCGTGAAAACGTCATCTATGCAGACCGAAAAGTGTAGTGTGGTTGCGTACCGACTTGCACTGAGATATGCATGAAAATTTGTACTGTGATTTTTACGTAGTGTGGTTGCGGCCTTAGGTCCATTCATAATACAGAGACAGACTTGGGTAAGCCATCGCTGCAATCGCAAGCTGGTTTACGTTCTTGCACCATGCTATAATGAGACATATAGTTGTATGGGACTTGTTCAGAGTGCATTGAGCAGGCTACTAATCCAAGGACATGAACGCGTCACCAAAGAGTAAAATTTTAATCTGCCTTATCAGAGTTTAAAGCCAGCTCAACCTTAATAAAAATTAATAAGGTTGAGCGGGCTTTAAACTCTGAAAGGCCCCCTTGGTGAGAACATTGATGACATAAAGCAGGCAGTTACTATGCTTTTCTGTACTACTAACTAAAGTGCTAAGTCCCCATGCACTTTGCGTAGATAGCCTTCCCGCACCTGCTCTCCCCTGCATGCACCCTGCACTTTTGTGATCCCACGCATTGTACTTCCCCTGTATCCCCAGGCATGTAGCTCATGTATAGTCAGCGTAGTCCCGTCACTAACTCAGCTAATTGCAACCAGATGTGATTAGATCTTCACAAGTCAAAAGCGGCCAAATGGCAACTATGAGGTTGCTAGCGGTACATGGTCCCCACACTACAGATGTGCAAGATACACCATGCCCTGATCCCTTCCACAGCATCACAGTAAACTCCATCCCACACACATACTATGACATAGCCCCCCCCCCCCCCCCCTCGCGTCTCTATTACCCAACTGATACCTGCAGTACAATGACCCTGCACAAAGAAATCACAGCTTCCCACATTCCTGTTTTCCATCCATCTCTATACGATGTAGCAGGGAGTCTGCGGAAGCTGTTTCTGCACACCTTTCAGCTGCTGTTCAGCACCTGGCCACCTGGCTGAAGGGCCGTGGTTTAATTCTTAATGAAAGAAAGACACAGATATTGCCTATTCCCCCATCCCCATCTCAAGCACTTGAGCTGCATGTCATTTGTAATGGGCAGACGCTGCCTGTTGTGAAAACGGCCAAGTATCTTGGCCTACATTTCGACTCAGACATGAGCTGGAACACCATGACAAGCCATGTTGCACGCCGCGTTGCCGCTAAGATTGGGCTACTAAATCGAAGTGCAGCATGTTTGCCTTTTTCTTGCCGTGTTCAGTTTTTCAGGTCCTTTATACTATCAGAATTTGACTATGCATCTGCTGCCTATGCCCCTTTCTTATCGTCTTATCAGGATAAGCGCCTAAATAGTTTGTTCAAACGTGCGGCTCGCTCGGTGTGCAGGGCAGCCCCTCGCACTCACACGGCTCCCTTACTTGAACGCATGAATGCCCATACCCTCAGCATATACACCCACATGCACATCCTTGTATTCATTTGGCGCTGCCTGAACAAATCTTCAAGTACTCTGTTTGCAAGCTTTTTCACCCGTAGTCCCTCTCTCCGAACACGAGGAGGGAACAGCAAGTTACTCATCATTCCTGTCTCCCCCACTGCATCCTCAGCTAAGCGCATTAGCCATGCTGGAGCTATCCTGTGGAACCAGCTCCCAGACACAGCACGCCTCGAAAGAAAGCGCTCCACTTTCAAATCGCTAAGCCTGGCCTTTCTGTTAGGCAGTACCGTCAACTAGGATGAACTCATCTGCTTCACTACCTCTCTCTCTCTCTCTCTCTCTCTCTCTCTCTCTCTTCTGTTTGTCCGCTTATTATTATATTTTCTTTTCTCTTATTATCAGTGGGACCATTGTCATTAGGTTTAGGCCTGTTTTGGAACTCCACTTTAAATAAAGCCAAACAACAACAACAACATCCGAATAGTATTGTCCAAATGCCCTGGATGGCTGCATATGCGCCCAACATCCATACCGGCCATAGCTACCTAGGCCCTGTATTTAGACTTCCCCAACACTTTCTCAAGCTCTCTGTTACCATAACAAGAAAAAAAGATTTCCACTATTACCCCAAAGTGCCTGTCGCCTGTTAAAGTGCCTGTTATTATTAGTATGGCGTCCCTCTTACCATATGGGATGGACGTTAAGCCAGTTTACTCTGCACTGAGTTTGATGGTGTTGTGTGTGTGTGTGTGTGTATGTGTGTGTTTGTGTGCGTGTATAGCACGAGCATCCGGCATGTGTCGCGGCACGAGCATCCGTGCGTGTGCTATACAGACGGAAAAGCTCAGTGTTACGTTACATCTGTTCGCCCGTTTCACTTGCCATACAATCACTCATTTGCCGCGCCTATTCTTCAACACTGAGTGATCAAGGCTGGCAGCAGCACACCCCGCAGAAATGTTGGTTCTCATTTTGACAGCAAAAGTGAAAAATAGGAAATCATAAACATAAACACCACCCCAAATAATTTTTACGTATTTTCAGACAGATTTCAAACAAAAACAGTGCTGATTTTGGAATGGAGTGAGTGCAGTGCTCAGTATGCCACAACCATTGCAAGCTAGACAAGACCTAGTACAACACACTACTTTGCTGACCAGCCAGATACTGGTGTACAACAAAAAACATTTACAAGGATAGCCAATGCTGATATATACAAGCAAATGATATTAGGGCACATATACATGGAGACTGATGCATAGATTGTCAAGATACAAGACACGACATTTAAGCTAGAGCCTATGATCCACAAACAATGCTACATGTTATCAATCCTGATCAGTTCATCAACTTCCACTGGTAAGAAAATCCTTCAACCGCTCTCGATACCTAGTACATATAGTTGGTGGTAGGCCGCAATTAAAACTGCACTTGTCCAGCTCTGCGGTAACCGTGGTTACATCTTTGGAGGATGCTGAATGCACACAATTTGTTGCATTAACAACGTCGTGCCTTTCCCTTTTGTCTGCAGAACTAGCGGCATTAGGGGAATACCCTGGATGGCTCTCCATAGCATGTCCGGGAATGCGGTACTCCGGAAACATTGTCTTCCAGTGCCAATGCATTACTTTCGGACGGGCTCTTGATCGGCGCTTAGTAGAGTTTGTGGACCGAGAACAACTTGCCATACGCCTTGGACTATGCTCCTGAGCACCAGCAGAAGCAGCACACGGAGACAAACATGTAGATACAGAGGGCTCCATTCCAAGCTGAGGAGAGCCCATAGCTGCAGTGGAAGAATCATCGACATTGTCAATGGCCACCTGACTTTTGTGCTTATCTGCATCATGTGCAGACTCAGCGTTAGTGGTATCAGGGTTGTTTACACAGGGCTCCATTCCCAGCTGAGGAGAGCCAATAGCACTTGTAACGTTCTGTAGAGTCCGTGTGCTAGCCTTGTTCAGAACAGATTTCTTTACCTGCTCCTGAATATCGTTTGCAGAGGAACAATCAGCAGGTCGGGTAGCTGAGTCCTCATTAAACAATGTAGATGCAGTTGTCTCATTCCGTGGATGGAGTGGTGCGGCCGGCCTTCGGACAGCTTCTTCAACGTGTTTCAAATAGCTGTCTATGGAGCTGTGATCAGCTGGTAACACAGCTTTGCACTCGCCGAGCATTTTGGAATACACTTGAACGTCATGCTCTGCAAATGACTTAATCTGTTTAATACCAATCGACAAATTCCATCTGGCCTCTGTATTTAAAAAATAATTTAAACCTCCAGCTATAGTACAATTGCCTTTGTAATATGATCGAAGCCGATAGAAAGGGCTAAAACCGGTGATAACATCAAAGCAGCTACTTAAGGGCACTTTGCATATTTGTAAGCGATCAGATCTGGTGTAGTACCCGAGACAAAAAAGCACGAAAATACGCCTGAATAAAGCATAGAACATCACATTAGCATCCCGGGAGAGACGATACAATACACGCATCAGTTTGCTGAATTCACTCTCGGATTTACCCAATACTGCACTTTCTGAGAAAACTCTATCAAAGAGCTCAATCACTGCTAACATCTTTTCAAGGTTCTGCAGCAGCAGTGCACTACAGATATAGTGTGTACGAATACACGATGGTGATGGTGATGGTGGTGATGGTGATGGTGGTGGTAATGGTGATGGTGGTGGGGGTGATGATGGTGATGGTGGTGGTGATGATGGTGATGGTGGTGATGGTGGTTTCACTGAAGTGGACTGATGCTCTGTCTTCGATGGCTGAATGTGTGGGCATTGTAGTGGAACAGGTTTCACGACTCGACGGCGAAACTCATTCACATCACATTTGTAGAACGATGGATTGAACATTCTCTTTGCCTCCAACACAACAGACTTCCACTCATCACTACTACGAGACACAGCACTTCTACTCAATTCTTTCCCAACACACATATCCACGATGAGGAAGAATTGAGCCAGTATTGTGTACGCGTCATCAAAGAATGGTAAAAACTCACTGACACTGAAGAGGTCTGCAGCAGCCACACTGGACTCCTTCAAATCGGTATGCTCACCCCCTCCCTCACTCTTCAACAGCAACAGATCACCATCATAGCAGGAACAGTACATCTCCAAGACCTCAACCATCTCCATTGATGCAATTTGACTGAGATGTTCCCTTGATTCAGGTACATGAGCTGCAATGTTGTCAACAATGTCTTGTAGACTGTGGAATATATGCCAGAACTGTGCCATGCATCCAAACTCTTTTTGCAAGTGAAGCTTTTCTAGGATATCGTTCAGGAAAACTAGATGGGATTGTGCGGGTACTTTCACATGGCATCCATTTGGCTCATTACCGAAAACTTCCTCAAACAGGCCATCGAATTCTGATAGTCTGTACTGCAGGACCCTTATGAAAGAGGCTGGTCCCAGTGCCACTGGGTACTCGAACACACCAGCAATATGTGGCCTGTAGTTACTATTCTCACCTTGGAATTGTTGCTCTGCCCAAGCCACCGAGCCTTCATTAAGCTCTAGTAAGTAGTGCATGCTATACCGACATTGCAAATAGATCAACCGGAAGTCGGGTATGGACATGAAACGTAAGCGTAGGAATTGTTTGTCGCGTTGCCGACAATCTGGAAACACAGACTGCACTGAACTACTGGCGTTCTCCAAAAGATTCACGTTAAATTCACACGCCGATTCAAATAAAGATTGGTCCTGTTTCGCAGAAGCCTTCCGTTCGCCTTTCATCTCTGGTTCCTTGCTCGTTCTTGGCATTTTGATGTATACAGGCATATGACACCTGGAATTGGGGTGATGTCACTTCTTTCCAGTCAGATCATAAACACTTGGAAAAGCCCTATCTCAGCATAAAGATTCTTCAGCTACCCAGATGGGTACAGCAGCTTACCCAAATGCCTATGCAATGCAAGGCAACGCTTGTGCTACGAAATTCAATCTCACAAAATCCTTCAGGTTCCATGTATTTCCGTCACCACCTAAGGCTTTTAACGACGAACTTGGGCACCAAACCAACCAAGCAAATTCTAGGAACACTGCAAGGCACGACGACAACAACGTTTTACTGGAACAATCTGTGCACTCGTACCACTATGAATTCTCCTTGGTGATAGCTCTACCGCACATCACATTGGCGTGGTATCCCACTGCAGTCATATACACATAATTATACACATATACACATATACACACGTACTGTACTACTACACTGCTGACCTAGCACCACTGACCACTGATGAGATTCAGAACAAGTGGTAATGCTATCACAAGAAAAACAGCGCTTATGATGGGAGTGCTGTGATAATTGATGTATTGAGTGTGTAACCCGGCTATATTGACCTGTACAGTTCCCAAGTACCTTGACAAGTTACACATACAGTCATGCACATTACTACTCACCTTCAAGTTCACACCTCTAGCATACTAGCTCAAGGCATTTTTCAAGTTCTACCATCACTTCTCAACTTCAAATACCCCCTGGCAATCACGCCGCTATGATGTCAGCATATCTAACTTCATTGCACTACATGATTCATCAGCAATTTACCCTTACATTAGTACTGTTATCCTTATCAGCTGGCTGACTGGCTGACTGGCTGACTGGCTGACTGGTATTGTAAACACATACAAATTTAGAAGGAAAGCTTGTGAAACCTATCCGTGACAGCATTAGAACGTGATTTTTGCCACTTGTTTCACTTCACTTAGCTGATAAACGAGAGTGCTTGGAAGCTCAGGGCCCCGCTATGCTTTTTTGCCTAGTTCATCATGCATGTTATTAGAACTGATGGAAATGTTTTTTCCATTGATTGGCACATCATTGTATTGCAAAAAACGTTTCAATCAGTTTGAATATGAGTTAGGCAATAGTAATTGCAGAATTTATGGGGGATTGTTATTTTCTCACTTCATCCACTTTTGGTTTGTTCCTTCTTTTCCTTTTTATCTCCTTATAATCGGATTTTCTGGCCTTTTTGTAGTAATAAATTGACCTGTTGAGCCAATGAGGTAAAATTAGATTTCATACAATACGATACAATACAATACCGTAAAATTCCATAAATAAGCCCACCCTAAATAACGCCCATGTCCGATAATAAGCCCAGTTTTAGGCGGTGTACACTTCAAGTCCGTTTTAGCGCCCATGCCCAAAAAAAGCCCAGGGCGTAAAGTGGACCCAAAATGACCAGCGAGCGAGCGTGCGTTCGCGTACAAACTGTAGCCATGCCGGTACCTGTTGTGCCTTGTACTTACCATAGCAAGTGGTTTACCTATCAAATCTGCAATTTATCGCTACGTTCTTGGTTACGACCAAATTTCCAGCTGCGGTTTGATGTACCTGTACCGCGCTCAGTGTGAATGGTGGTTCACTGAAACTAGTGGGTTGCTGATAAATTGATCTTCTGCAGACTGCGTCCGAAATAACGCCCATACCCTAAAATAAGCCCATGCCCAAATATACGCCCGGTTTTTGACGCTCTGCAAAGCATACGCCCGGGGCTTATTAACGGAATTTTACGGTAATACAATAATGTCCTTGCCTTGATAGTGTACTTGTGCTTAACAGTTGCTGTTGCTGACGGCCGAATGCACGGTTGCCTGTGGAGCACATTACATCACTTTACAGTCTACTATAATAGGCATCCTGTCCGACGGCAAAAGAGGCTGCGGATTTAGTTTTTCTGCACGTTATCAGCAATGACTCTAATGATCTTCAGCAACTTCGGTCACCTATAATACGCATCCTGTCTATGCTTTGTAATGCTAACATACTGCTCGGGATAGCACTCGCTACTGATCTTCGGAAACGTGGCCTGACTATCACTCACACTAAGGCTGTTGTAATGTTCATTGTTCCCAAGCGGTCGCTGGTTTCTCCCACAATTTCATCGTACTGTTGTACGACATGCTATACGGCATCGGTATACCGTACAACACCGTACGGTACGGGACAGGTGCGGGATAGCGCCAGGCATGCCGATGGCACAAACAAACAAACACGGAATTAAAGCTATGTGGACCCTGGCTAGCGCCAGACATTACTGAAGTAACGTCTATTGCATAGCTACAGGAATAATCAGTGTTACTACATGCTGGGCACAGTACAGTATGCATGTACAACATGTTCTGACACCAATTGCAGTACACCGAGATTAAGATCTAATTCCCGAAGCTATGCAAAAGACGCTTTTTTTCGCTCCAACCCAGTCTGCCTGCTGTCCTGTGGGGACTTGTTGACGTTTAGGATATGAGTGACAGTTTATTAGTGCTATTCTGTGTGCAATATGGCTCAGTACACAGAATGGAATTTTGTTTTTTCCTCTTTTTGTTGCCCGCCCACATGCCTTTTCCAGTCAATGTCCGACGTGAAACATGTTAAAACATGGTATGACCTAACTAAAAGAAATTATACGTTGTAGTTCACGCCGGCTGAGCTCAGCGAGATAGGCGAGAAATGATTTCTTGTGCAACATTTTCGGTTGCAGATATGGCGTCCGGTGTGTTCTTTATCGTCGCTCCTTCTTCTGACTTCTTCAGCCAGTTTTGAGCCTCACAAGTGTCCCTTCCCTCCCACACTTCATTTCTGTGCATCTCAGTTATTCATTGTTTTTTAAAACTTTTTGCCGTGACGTGCTTGCCACGCCTACATTATTTTTTATCCTTGTCATGTCTCTTCC